CCCCAAGACGGCACCCAAAAGGCTTCAAAACTATTTCTAAGAGGCCCCCGAAAATATATGTGTATATATACACATACATACATATATTAAATTCATATGCGTATGGATACGTGTATTCCCATATAACTTCAAACTATATACGTATATGTATGTATATGTATATGTATACGTATGAATGTCTCTGTCTGTCTGTCTGTCTGTCTGTCTGTCTGTCTGTCTGTCTGTCGGTCTGTCTGTCTGTATGTATGTATGTATGTGTATATATTATATATATATATATATATAGAGAGAGAGAGAGAGAGAGGGCCCGAGGACGCGCCATGGGGGTGTCGGGGCGCCAGAGACGCTTCCAGACCGTCCAAGACAGCCCCAACACGTATGAAAAGGGCCGCGAGAGGCCTCCAGGAGGCCTACTATTCGAGAGGCCTCCAGGAGGCCTACTATCGCGGAGTTATCGTTCTCACACGCCCAAGATGGCCTCCGGATAGCCCGCACTCCCAACAGGACCCCAAGACGCCAAAATCAGGGATTTTCTTTTGGTTTTTGGTGCATTTTAGCGTTTCAGCTTTTTGGCATCCCAACGCTCCAAGACGGCCCAAGAGGCCCCCAAGACCGCTCCACGATAGCCGAAGTGGCCTCCAAGAGAGCCCCAAGATGGCCCACGAGGCCCGAAGACGGTGCCTGAGGCGCCCAAGACGGCCCGAGAGGGCCCCAAGACGGTCCCAAGAGAGGCCCAAGAATGGGAACGCGAACCCAACAGCAGAGTCTTCCGCCCTAAGAGGCCCAGAGACGGCCCCAAGAGTCCCCATGTGGTCCGACGAGGCCCCCATAAGCCTCCCAAGCGGCCCCAAAAGGCCCCAAGGAGACGCACAAGGGGCCCCAAGATTGCCCAACAGTGCCCTCGATGCATCAAAACTGCCTGCAGGAGGCCCCGGGAGGCTTCCGGATTGCCTCAGTGTGGACTCAGGCGCCCTCAAGTCGGACCTCCACGCAGCCAAGACGGCCAATGACGGCTTCAGATTGCAGAACATCACCTTCCGATTGCCCAGAGAACCCCGACGATGCTCCCAAGGGACCCCAAGAAGCCCCAGGACGCCGCCCCAAGAAGAACCCAAGAGGTGCCTCCAACAGCAAATCGAGGAAGCACGGAGAACCCCCCAGAAGCCCTTCAGATGCCCCCACGAAGATCCAAGAGGTCTCCAAGAGGCCCTCTGGAGGCACGACTATGTCTCGCGCCTGTGCTTGACAGCACTGTCAAAGATCTTCCAGCGCACCCCCGCCTGGGCTAGAACTTGAGCGCGCGCGAAGCGCGCGCGATGGTTCTAGTGAAGTGTATCCGGTTTCCAAAACATGGTAGTATAGTTGATCTTCGCATCCGTAGCCACACAGTAGGATGGCACCACAACCGAGGGCATTCAATGGATGGTGTCCAGAAGGTTGATCATGAAGAAGTGCTTCACGCTCTTCATCTTGTGGCAGATCCGAGTTTTTCCTCATCGTTGTCGCCCCCCTCCTTCCCCCTCCTCCGGCTTCCCCTGGTCCTGGTGCTCCTCCCGCTCCTCCTGCCACTCCTGTTACCACTGCTGCGTTTTCCTCGTCCTCCTCCTCTTTCCTCATTCTCCTTTCCTTCCGCCTCCTCAGCTCGTCCGTCTTCCCCTGGTCCCGTGTTTTTCCCGTTCCTTCCACCCCAATTCCTGCTGCTGCTCCTCCTCCTCCTCCTCTTCCTCCTCCCCCTCCTCCTCCTCATTCCTCATCCTCTTCCTTTCCCTGCTGTTTATCCTCCAGCTCGCCCGCCAGCCCCTCCTATGTACACAGCCATGTTTTTCCCTGATTGCGCATGACACGACGGGGTCTTCTTCGGAGTTCCACGTCGGCTATGTCACGCGTTCGCGGATACAGAACAAGACAGCGCAATGGGAGGGAATGCCAAGTTGGGTTTCGATGTCAGATGTGGCGCGAGCGCACCTAGCTTCTCTCTTTCCTCCCTCTTCTAATCTTACGCCAGCATGGTACCACCGCTTTCGCGTGCTCTCCTGAAAATGCAGAGGGCCCCATTCAGTCGTTAACTCCTCGGGTTCCTTCTCGGTCAGAACGTTCCCGACTCTTCGGAAACGCTGCTCCCGCTGCAGCGCTGGCCTTATGTCAGGATCGGTGATTTTCTCCCGTCGTTGAGAACCGCGCTCTCGCCACAGCGCGGGCCACGTTTCTGGATCCAAGTCGTCCATCGTCGTTGTCTCCCCCCAACATGTCCCGTCCTCCGCCTGACGCTGAGGCCCCTGTTCCTCATGGTCATACTCTTGCTCTTCCTCCTGCGTTTCCTCCGGTTCCTTTTCCTCCTCCGTTTATCGTTCTGCTCCTCCTCCGTCTTCTCCTTCTTCTCCTGCTCCTCCTCCTCCTCCGCCCTCAATGTACAAAGCACCCCACCTTTTTTTCTGATTGCGCATGACACGGTTGGCTGATTAGGGGGCGCAGGGTCCTGCAGAAAACCGCCGTCGGTGGGTAGGAGGGGATCCAGAGCACCAGCCGGGGCGCTGAGCGCACCCGGCTTGCCCCCTTTGTCCCCTTCTGCCCCCCATCCACCCTCCCTCCCTGCTGCAGGAGGAAGGGGAGGAGAAGCACATGGAGGAGCAGGAGGAGGCCACGTTTCCCCCAGCGAAAGCCCCAATCAGAGGATGTTCGAGTGTTTCGCAGGTGTCTCCATCGGCCTTCCTCCCGCCCCAGTCGAATTCGAAGATGCGGTCTAGTCGAGTCTAGTTATTAGATGTTCCTCTATGTTGTTATGTATGTGTTTTTTTCTCTCTCTCTCTCTCTCTCTCTCTCTCTCTCTCTCACACTCTTTATATATAGGTATGTAATGTATGTCTATACGTATCCAAACGTATATATGTATCATTCCCTAGACCTACCTCTCTGCATCTCTACAACTGACCTGTATGTATATATCTACATATGTGTACGTTGATATACATTCACGTACATGCGCGCATGTTCTCTTTCTGCCTATCTCTCTCTCTCTCTCTCTCTCTTTCTCTCTCTCTCTCTCTCTCTCTTTCCGCCTCTCTTTCTTCATGTTTCATTTTTGTTTGGCTCTCTCTCTATCTCTCTCCCTCTCTATCTATGTATCGGAGGTCGGGGGTGAGATCGCAGTGAAACGGACCTCCCCCCCTGGGATACCGGTTTCGGATTCACGTTCGTGTCGCGCGTGCGGGCGAGGCGAAGCTGCGTGAGCGGGCGAGAGGAATGAACCCGCCGTCGCCAGGTCGAAGCCGAACCAAACGCTGCTGCCCCCTGGGTTGGCCAGCAGTGACCCTGTCGTGTCCCGATGGTATCCCGATGGTGTCCCGTGGTGTCCCTTGGCGTCCCGTACTGTGTCCCGTGGCGCGGGGGTGTCCTGTATTATGTTATATGCTATGCTATGTTATGCTAGCGATAATGAGAGATCCATTGAGTGAGATTTGAAGTCAGATCGATCGTGAGATCGATAGTGAATTCGATCGTGATGACGGTAGTAAGGTCGATTGAGTGAGATCGATAGTGAGGTCGATAGTGATATCGATAGCAGGATCGGTAGTGAGATCGATACTCATATCGATAAGTGATATCGATTGAGTGGAATCCATGGTGAAATCGAACGTGAGATCGATTGTGTTCGATCGTATGTTCGATAGTGGAGTCGATAGTGGGATCGATTGAGTGAGATCGATAGTGAGATCGACAGGGAGATCAATCGTGATATCGATAGTGAGATCGATTTAGTGCCATCGATAGTGAGATCGATAGTGACATCGAAGATGGTATCGATAGTGAGACCGATCGTGAGAGCGATCGTGATATCGATTGTGAGATCGTTCGTGAGATCGATCGATCGTGAGATCGATGGTAAGATCAATAGTGATATCAATCGTGTGATCGACAGTGAGATCGATAGTAAGATCGATAGTGATATTCAGAGTGAGATCGGTAGTTTGATCGATAGCGATATCGATTGAATGGGATGGATGGTGGAATCGATCGTGAAATCGATGGTGAGATTGACCGGGAACCAATGAACCCAGGAACCAAACATTGGAACACCAACAATTGGTACCCCGGGAACCCCGCCGCCCACCGAATTCGGCACGGAACCAGCAACGGGGAACCAGGGAACCCGGAACTGGGAACCCGAGAACCTGGCCGCCCACCGAAATGGGCCAGGAATGTTCACCAAATCTTTCAATTTCCGCTAGGACCCCTTCAGTACAAGCACTGTCGGTTGGGGGGCGCCGTGATTTCAAAGTGTTGCTTCGGCAAGGGGTTCAAAGCAGCAGAGCGCGCTTGTTGCGGCCAGAGTCGGCCAGAGCCAGCCAGAACCGAGACTAGCCAGGCAAGCGTGACCAGCTTGGCCAGCGAACTCAATCACACAATGCATTGTTTGTGTTTTCGGTGTGCCCGCCCCTTCCGCCCCCCACCACCGCACACCATTTTCAGATAATGCATCTGGAAAGTGAACTGAACGTTTCAGTAGGGGGGCCTCCCTTATGATCCGATGGTGAAGTAACTATGAGGTTGTCTCGTTTCTTTCTCCTGTGAGGTGGATTCGCGCATGCGTGATTCTCCTTTACATGTTCACATGTCCACCGCAGCGGAGGCAGGAGCGGAAATGAGAGGGATGAGGTGGATGAGAAGCAAGGGCAGCGGCGGCAGCAGTAACGAAGATGAGGCGGAGGAGGAGGACGAAGAGGAGGAGGAGAGGAGGAGGAGGAGGAGGAGGACCAGGAGGAGGAGGAGGAGGAGGAGGACCAGGAGGAGGAACAGGAGGAGGAGCAGGAGGAGGAACAGGAGGAGGAGCAGGAGGAGGAGGAGGAGGAGGAGGAGTATGACGAGGGCCAGGACCAGAAGGAAAACACGAGGAGGAGGAGGAGGAAGAGGAGGGCGAGGAGGAGGAGGAGGAGGAGGATCATCAGCAGCAGCAGCAGGAGAAGGTCACCCTCCTCCCTCCCCGCCCTGCGACCCCATGCCAGGGCGACGCGGCCCCAGGGGCGGAGGCGGCGCGACCTCCCGCCCTCGTGCAGCTGCAGCTGCGCGGCCGCGGGGGCGAGGCTCGCCAGAGGCCGCTGCTTCCAACTGCCCGAGATGGTCGTCGTCGTCGTTCTCAGAAGAGAAGGAGGAGGAGGAAGAGGAGGAGGAGGAAGAGGAGGAGGAGGAAGAGGAGGAGGACAAGGAAGAGGAGGAGGAGGAGGAGGAGGAGCTAGAGGAGGAAGAGGAGGAGGAACAGGAGAAGGAGGAAGAGGAGGGCGAGGAGGAGGAGAAGGAGGGGGAGGAGGGGAGGAAAAGGAGGAGGAGGAGGAGCAGAAGGAAGAGGATGAGGGGAAGAGGAGGAGGAGGAGGAGAGGAGAGAGGGGAAGAGGAGGAGGAAGAGAGGCGGAAGAGGAGGGAGGGGGAGGAGGAGGGGGAGGAGGAGGAGGAGGAGGAGGAGCAGCAGAAGGAAGAGGATGATGATGATGATGATGATGATGATGATGATGATGATGATGAGGAGGAGGAGGAGGAGGAGGAGGAGGAGGAGGAGGAGGAGGGGGAGGAGGCCGCCGCTTCCAACCGCCATGGGCGGCCCCACGTGGGAGCCGGCTGGGGGGCCGAGGTGGTCCAGTACTGGCTCCAGCTCTCAGAACCCCGCGAGTCAGGAAAAAAATAGAACGAAAGGTTGTTCTTTGATTTTCTGCCCTTGGGTTCCTCACCGGGCCTCGGGACCGTCAGAAAACGACTCAGGACGAAAAGCTTGTCCCGTGGAATGTGTCGAGACTTGTGGGGGTCCACGATGCACAAAATCACGACGTCGGTTGTCTGGGGCCAGCACGAGGGGGGGTTAACAATCAGAAACCTCCCAGCACCAGAAGTCCAGGCGGTACTCGTCGTAATACACAAACTTTTATATTACGATATATCGCTCATTCTTCCACGTCTGGCAGAAATATGTTCGCAACTGTCTGGGATGACTCAGAGCGCCCTGTGATACGCACCGAGAAGACATGGCAGCGTGCGTGCGCGAGCATGTCTTAAACACGCACACAAACAACCATAAAAATGCTCAACTCAGATTTACCCTTGCTGAGATTGCATGGAATGTCATCGAAGAAAAACGAGTCGACCCTGCCACACGCCAAGTGCACTCCACGAGAGCAACAGTTCTGAAACAACATCAACTCCACAGCAGCTCCAGCACTTGATCATTGCCTGGGCAAAATTCGCCGTGATGCCACACGCTGTGAAGGAATAGAGACTTGATGTCACGGCCACAAAAATTGAGGAATCCTGAGTACGAAAACGATTGTCGTGCTAGCTCCTCGGCGGCGGCTCCGCTTGAGAGCGTTCCACACGTCAAGAGCCCGTCGGAGCAAACGTTCGTCTTGGGGCCCTTGGCTGGGAAGTGTCCACGTGCACTGGACTCGGCATGTCAGGAAGGTGAGTCACCAGCTGACCGCGTTGCGACCAGCTCGGATGACGTGTCCCTGGTCAACGCACATCTCTTGGCCATTTTGGGCATGACTCCTGTCGATGTGGGCCTTGCCACTGGAGTCGATGGCTGGCTCGAGGCTGCTGCCTGCTTCTCGGGTGAAACGTCTGGCGGCTCGTCGGTAGGCTGGTCCACAGGGTTCGTCGCGGTCTTTGCCTGTGGCTCTGGTCTGTCAATAGCTGTAGAATGCAACTCCTGGGCAACACCCGAGCTGCAACAAACTCATTGTTCCTGCTCGTCGTGGTACTGGTAGCACTAGTTGTAGTCGTAATAATCGTAGTTGTAGTAGTAGTAGTAGTAGTAGTAGTAGTAGTAGTAGTAGTAGTAGTAGTAGTAGTAGTAGTAGTAGTAGTAGTAGTAGTGGTAGTGGTAGTGGTAGTGTAGTAGTAGGGTAGTAGTAGTAGTAGTAGTAGTAGTAGTAGTAGTAAGTAGTAGTAGTAGTAGTAGCAGCAGCAGCAGTAGTCAGCAGTAGCAGCAGCAGCAGCAACAGCAGTAGTAGTAGTAGTAGTAGTAGTAGTAGTAGTAGTAGTAGTAGTAGTAGTAGTAGTAGTAGTAGTAGTAGTAATAGTAGAAATAGAAGTAGAAGTAGTAGTCGTAGTAGTAGCAGCAGCAGTAGTAGTAGTAGTAGTATTAGTAGTAGTACGAGTAGTAGTAGTAATAGTAGTAGTAGTAGTAGTGGTAGTAATAGTAAAAGTAGTAGTAGTAGTAGTAGTCGTCGTAGTAGTAGTAGTAGTAGTAGTAAGAGTAGTAGTAGTAGTAGTAGTAGTAGTAGTAGTAGTGGTAGTGGTGGTGGTGGTGGTAGCAGTAGTAGTTGTAGTAATTATAACAGTAGTGTAAGTAGTAGTAGTAATAGTAGTAGTAGTAGTAGTAGTAGTAGTCGTCGTCGTCCTCGTCGTTGTCATCGTCGTCGTCGCAGTAGTAGTAGTAGTTGTCGTCGTCGTCGTCGTCGTCGCCGCAGTAGTAGTAGTAGTAGTAGTAGTACCAGTAGTACCAGTAGTACCAGTAGTAGTATTAGTAGTAGTAGTATTAGTTGTAGTAGTATTAGTAGTAGTAGTGTTAGTTGTAGTAGTAGTAGTAGTAGTAGTAGTAGTAGTAGTCGTGGTGGTGGTGGTGGTGGTGGTGGTGGTGGTAGTAGTAGTAGTAGTAGTAGTAGTACTAGTAGTACTAGTGTTAATAGTAGTAGTAGTAGTAGTAGTAGTTGTTGTTGTTGTAGTAGCCGTCGTAGTCGTAGTCGTAGTCACAGTTTAAGTAGTAGCAGGAGTAATAGTAGCAAAGAAGAAGAAGTAGACCGATCCAGGTATCCGTCAACATCGCATGCCTTAGCACAGCCGCAGGTGGGCCCCAGTGCCACTGAACCTCAAGCTTGGGAAGCAGTGGCCATCGTAGCTATGATGCGAGCTGCCGTCTTTCTCTTCTGCTGGGTGGTCGTCCTGTCGGCGTAGAAGTGTCGGCGACTGCAGTGGCGGAACGGCTTTCCAGAGGGATCGAGACTGTTCTTAACTTTCTTGTCGCAACCCTCGAGCACGCATGTCCTCTGGCCATCGTCGCCCATCTCCTCGACAGCATTCGCGCAGTGAGCAGCAAAGCCTGCAGCGCGATTGAGCTCCATCTCAGCGTCACGCTTGGTCTTGGCGCTGAGCTTCTTGCCTGCAGCGTTGTTCGGGTCGAACTCGATGGCGTCACGGCCCCGCTGGATGGTCTCCGCGAAGGCCTGCCGCGGTGCGACCTTCGCCAATCCATCGGCCAGCTGGTGCAAAGTGTTCGTCCAACGAAAGACTCCGAACAAGGCCTTCGCACGCTGAGTAGCGATCTTCATCTCAACGCTATGCGTCTCTCCTGGATGCCCAAGCCTCCGCTGGGAGACAAGCTAGCACCACGCAGTCCTGCCGAAAAGACCACAATCACCCACTCGCCCGGCCTGCGCATCGTAGCCCCATCAACGATGGACCCGGGTAGGATCGATCATACAATTCGCAAAAACCTTGGCCCATTCGAGCGCATCCACGGCATTGGCAGCTGAGCCTCCGAAGCAAGACTTGCTCCGGGCCAGTAGATCCAACCTCCGAGATCGGACGGGGTCTGCGAAGCAACGCAGCTCCTCATCCGCGCAGCTCTTGACGTCTTGCCGAGAGGCAGCGCCTTCATCTCCCCCCGTGAGTTCACCCGCGCGCAACCCTAAGGCTCCGTCTCCGCCCCCTATCATTCTTTGGGAGTCGCACGTGGAGGCGTCGAATTTGTCGCGTTCGTCTGCTGCCGCGCGGGCCGACCTGTAGACGCAATTGTCCAGAGGATGCGATGCGAAATGCCTGTCTCCCATAGCGCTGTCGGCCGTCGTTCACCACTGATTTGGCGCTCGAATGTCTCCGAAGGCAGGCGTCCTCATCGACAAAATCTCGTCAGGCTGTAGATTGATCATCCGTTCCACTCTCCGTCTTGCATCTGCACTAGGCACGCCGTGAACTTCATTCTCGATGTCCTCGCTCTGCAAGAAGGCTGAAATTGACCTCAGCTGAGAACACCTTCCACTTCCGCGCAACGCACAACTGGAACGTCACACTCCTGCCCAGCCGCGCAACGGCTGGGCTCTCAGTGCCCAACTTCTGCGCGAGACCACGTCTATGCGTCTATACGCTTGAAGCCCTGCAAGGTGATCCGCGCGTTGGCCTTGAGTGCATCTGCTTTCTGTTTCCATTTGAGCAGGTGCCTCATGGGCACGCGCTCGTCGGGGTTGGCGAGGCCGTTGCCCGCCCGTTCCCGCGCGCGGCTGTCGATCCACGGCACAAGCGCCTCGTCTCTGGCCGGACTGAACTGCTCGCGCCCATCGGGGCTGAGCCTCTTCTCGCGCGTCGCCCCCGCTCTACGCGGTGCCAGATAAATCGTGTCCTCGCATTATTGGCCGCGCTCTTAATTGCAGCAGCTCCTCGATCACCAGAGCGCGCTCGCCGTTGAGGTCGGATGTCAGGCGCGCCGTGGGCGCGGCATTCGACTTGGGACTCTCGAGATCCATCTTCTGCACTGGCGGTAGTCCGCCCACTGTTCGAGCTGCGTTGAAGGGGTCGAGCGCCGCCTGCCGGCGATCAGTCAAGACGCCGCTTATGTCGGCGTCTTGGTCCAAGGGCCTACTCGGTGCCATGCGTACTTATTCTGCTTCGGGCCGCGCGTTGCTTGTCTGTCCCTAAGCAGCTGCACCTTCTGAGTCGTGCCCGTTAGTCGTCGGCGGCAGCAGGGGCGCTCTGGTTGGCGTCGCCATCTTCTCGGCCGTCGCCATTCGTAGCCTAATCTTCCAGGTCTCGAGCTCCAGTCTGCTTCGCCCCAGCTGGCCCTACCGCGCCGCCATCTGCCGCTGGCACCTCAACGTCGTCGGGCCCGCCACCCGCGGGAGGTGCAACAGCGGCCCCATCCTCGGGCCCCAGTTCTGCAATGGCAGGGTCGCAGAGGTAGTCGGTGTCAATGACTTCGGTAGGCGGGCGGGGTCGATTGCCACGACGCGCTGGGCGTAGCTGCCCATGCAAGTTCCCGATGATGGACGCGCCGTGAACCAGCCACAACACTATGCCTTTGAGCTGGCAATCTTTCACCGCAGGCTCGATGAGGCA